GATCGAGCGCGAAGACAAAGAGGATGACAACATCTACCAACAAGAGCGCCCCCCGAGGTCTCCGAGAGGAGGGGGAGTGGAGATTTTCTATGGAGGGGGATGGGTCGAAAATTGGAGGGATGGTGTAAGAGGCACGGAAAAGCACAATGGATGAAGGAGGGAAATGGGAATTGGGAGTTGGGTGTGCTTGCGACCAAATGAGGGAGTTCCACCCTAGATACATGGGTGGAAATAGAGGAGGAATAGGAGCTTGGGGTGGAGAAGTTAGAGTTAGGAAGTTGAAAATGTCGATCTTCGAGGGGGAAGGCGCACATGGGTGGCTGTATCGAGCAAAACAATACTTCACGGTGAATGAGTTATATGGGGAGGAGAAACTCATTGCAGCAATATTGTGTTTGGAGAGGAAAGTCTTAGCTTAGTTTCAGTAGAGGGAGACTAGATACTTAATTCGTTCGTGGGATGAATTTAAAAATTGTTTGTTGAAATATTTTTTAGCTATTCAGGAAAGAGGCCTACACGAGTAATTTTATGTCTTGACTCAGGAGGGGATTGTCATAAAATATAGAGAGAGATTTGAACTACTATCAAGATGATTGTGGATGATTTCTAAAGCAGGATTGGAGGAGTATTTCATGAAGGGGTTAAATCCCAACATAAGAGTAGCACTCCGACTAATAAGACCATAGGGATTGAGGGAGATAATGGAACTAGCTTAGATGTTGAAAGACAAGAATGAGATCAAGAAATTCAACAGGAGCAACACAGATAGAGCATCGTACATAACTGCTGCAAACACGACGATGTTAAAAGTTCAGATAGTGGAAGTCCAGAGGGAGGCTGCACGGGACATGAATAACGGACCATGGTTGTGAGCAACACTTAAGTGTTTACAGAGATAGAGATTCGGGAGAAGCAAGCATAGGAGTTATGTTTTCAGTGTGATGAGAAGTTTACCTTAGAACACCGTTTCAAGGATTGAAGATTACAAGTTCTCATAATGCAGGATGAGAAAGCAGAGAATGAAGAAATAGAGACGGTCGTGGGGGAGGAGTAACACTCTCATTTTTTCCCACCTTGGGGACAAGGTGCCTTTGGGAGGAGGGTATTGTTACGAGAGGGGCCTAGCCTAAAAGCAATTTTGTCTTTTGTATGCCTAAGGGCAATTTTGTCTTTTATTATTATTATTGTTGGGAATAAATAGGCTTATTATGTCTAGTATTAGATTTATGCACGAGATTGAGTTGTGAGTCTTAGGTTTAGGTTTTGGGAGAGATTTCCTATCTCTCAAATTGTAGGAATTGGAAAAGATCGTCTACTTCAATTGTAGGAATTGGAAAAGATCGCAAACCTCACAAATTGTATGTGCTTATCTTTGTATTTTCATTGATTAGTTTGAATTATTGAGATTAAAAATAATAATAATAATAATAATAATCAGCTTTGCCCTAATTTTTTCTAGAAAAACATGCCGATTTTTACGTCAAATCGCATTAGAATATTAATTGGATCATTAAGGAATTATAAATAATGCAATTAAATAGTTTATGATGAGCTGTGATTTTAAAAGAATGCATAAACTATTGTAAGATTCAAACTTATATTCTTATATTTAAGGGGGATCAAATATTTCATAAGAAAAAAAAAACCCGTGTGTTTTCCAAAGAGTTAACGTGAAAAACCAAAATAGCCAAAGGGGCATACTGCTTTTTTTTAAACCTGTAGCACGTTGTAGTCCGTTGTCATAACCTTCTATGGAATTGAAAAGCTGCAGTTAACTTTTCTATTCTGCAGGTTGAGCTACAAGTGTAAAACTTCTAAGATGTGAGTCATTCTTTTTTTCTTTCATCTATTATTTATGAACAAATAGCTTACATTTCTACCCAAGAAATGCATTGCAACACACACTACTATGATGCAAGCCATTAGTCTGTTTCAAACTAAACTGATCATATCTGTTGGGAAAAAATTTAAATTTGACATCATGATTCAAGGAATTGGCAACAAAACATATTTTTCCCCTCTTCTATTCAACGGGATAAAGGTTAAAAGATATAAAGTTACATCATCAAGCAGTTATCTGATTAAGGACACCATTGTACATAAATTAGGAAGATTTACATACATACCATTTAGTTCCTATGTATTTGCATATCTAACACATAAATTTCAATTGTTACATAAATGCCACCTTACCTATATATGAAAAGGTGTATTTCTTTTTAAAAGTTAAAACAGTGGCATTTTTAATGTGATAAGAAAGAGTTGGGAGGTAAAAATGTAAAAATTTAAGTTGAGGTGTCAGATATGTAAATACATAAGAAGGTGTATGTAAATGCCCCCATAAATTAACACCCCCTAGCGTCAACTCATATTGTCAAAAAACAGAAAAAATAACTACTGACAGAACAGCCAACATGTGACCAAAATAACCAACATTAATGCAATTTAATAAAAAATATGCATCTTGGCCTCTGATTTTCTGTTGAATATACATGCATAATCATAGAAATAAATGCACAAGCTAATCCTCAACATCCTTTATATAACGTTATTTTCTCTGTCCTGTCAGTACAGCAGAAATGCCCAAGTTAACGCCCATGTCCCACTTATATTTTATGTTAGGGAAATTTACATACATACCACAGAATTCTCATGTATTTACATGTCTAACACCCCAAGTTTGATATTTACACTTATAACACTTTGGTATGATGTATTTCACTTTTAAAAATGTAGTGATGGTGATATTTTCGATCTAATTTTTAAAATTTAAGTGGAAAGCCTGTAAATATGAATGTTTAGGTGTTGGATATGTAAATATATAAGAACTGTTTGCTATGCATGTAAATGTCCATTTATGTTATTGCATAGAATGGCATTCACATAATTGAACTTACAATTTTCACCAGGCCGACAATTTCTTCAACTGTTAATCAACATTTGGTGAAAATTAAGAGATTGAAATATGCACAAATTAACATACCATTGACAATAAGCCTGGACCTGTGTGCTTTGCAATGAAATTTTCATCCTCAAACTTACTCCCATAGATGCTTATACAACCACTTCCATCGCCCTATAAGCGACATTTAAATTGTAAGGAAACAGTTTGCACTAAAATGCTACATAAAATAAATCTAAGCTACTCGTAAACTCTTCTAACACAGATAAATTTACAATTTAATCATTTTAAAACAAATAAAGGCGAAAACTAAGTGTGAAGCAAACTCACATAAAGTGAATCACTTCTCAAATCTAAACTGGGAAAATAATATATAAATAAAAATATATTGACTATTGCAATCATATAAATTAGAAAATAATTCAACTGTAAGACATGCTCAGTGTTTGTAAATCAAACTCAGTGAGAAGATCACTTCTTTGCACTATTATTATTATTATTATTATTATTATTATTATTATAAATCACAAATGAGTCAAAATCCACACATAAATAATGATTCTCACGGCATTCATTGGGACGGTAAAGTAGCAACCAACCATAAAGAATCTTTCTTAGTTAAGGAGGATTTTGTATCAACTATATTGTTTTATTTGATTTCCATAAAGATTTCAAACATGCTTTCAAGACATAAATCAATTTTTTAGAAGTCAATAGGACTATCATTGAGTTAAGCAGAAAGACAGACCTTAAGAAAATCACCAGCCTGAATCATGAAATCCTTAATAACTCGATGAAATTGGCAACCTTTGTAGCCAACCGGTACTCCCGCTTTTCTGCAGTTCAACTCTATACAATCATTGAGAAGCTTTAATAAGATGTAATTTGGAAAACAGGATTTCTGGGATGTACTCTCACAATAAAAACATTATTTTGGTGGAAAAAACAAAAAATGACATTCAGATTTTGAATGATTCAGCACTCACCCACTCAAATGAGAGCTCAACAAAACAAATAAAATATAAAGATGGGATAATTACATACAAACAACCCGAAACATTGATGCTTTAAAATTAACCACTCAGGTGATGTTATTAGACTATGGAACCGATGTATTTACGCTTGTCACAATCAAACTATTGATAATTTAATACAAATTAAAGTTATGGGTTGAGGTTCCACCATGAATTTCGATATTTCAGGGAGAATTTTAAAAATGGATGAAAGAGTTGGTTCATTTGTAAATATGAAGTTTTGGGTGGTTTATAAAGATATAAATCTGCATTCACCTGTGAACTTAAGACAAGAGTCTCGCCCAGCAATGGAAAATACCAGAAAGCTTGCTATTATAGTATAAAATCAAGATTGTTTCAAAAGAAAGCCCACTAAAGTTATCTCAGTACTTTGGCCAAGTGGAACTTGAAAGCATTGTGTGGAGTATGTGTACGAATTCATCACTGTTGGTGAAAAGATAATAGCATAACATTTGGGCAGAAACAGAAGTATATAAATTTTTCTCAACAAGATAGTTCAAAGAATACCTGTATTCACCGGTGCAGAGCTGCCTGCATGGTAGATACAAACAAAACATCCATTAGCCTAACAATCAATCAGTTAATCTAGATGATCCCGAACCTAAATTTGCTCGGAAATATCAATTTTGTAAGCAGATTGGGCGCTAATTTAAAGGCTAAGTCTAGGGTTATAAGTGTTTTAGGGACGGTGAGGAAAACTGGGTACCTGAAATTCTCGGCAGTCTTGGGGGCTATATCAGAAAAGAGCTCCATCTTGATGCGACCAGCTGGAATGCTGCCTATGTTGACATCGAAGAAGACAATTGGGTTTTTAGGGTTCGGAGGCCGTTGATGCCACTCTACCGTGGCCGCAGGTGGAATCGGAGGAGCCGCCATCGTTGCGTTTGTGTTGGCCGCCGCGGTACCAGAAGCCATCGCTATTTGGAGAGATCGAGAGAATGGAAATATGGAAATATGGAAAAAAAATTTTACATGCCTATTTTTTTTAATTGCTGATAGTTTTTCTTTTTGTTGGTGTATATATAAAAATTTAGGAAAAAAAATATGTGAGATGTAAAACTACAATACAATTTCATGCTACTTATGCAAATGCCCCCATAAAAAAGGACATATCACTCAATTTTTAAATATTTACTCATATTTCACCTAATTATGTATGTATGTATGTATGTATGTATGTATGTATGTATATATATATATATATATATATATATATATATATATATCATCTTAGGCATATTTCACTTTTTTAAAGTGAAAATCGACACTCTACCAATAAACTCAATCATTCAACACATATCTCTAGGTATGACGCAAATCTCTAGATAAACTTTTAAGCAAAAAATGTTCGCATATTGAAAAAAAGTTATCCATAACTCAAATTTCAACAAACTTATAGTCAAACTCATCAGCTCGATGAGAAGAACTTGATGATACAAATATTGATATAATCGAAGTGAAATCAAGCTCATATCAAGTCATTGAATAACTTTTGGAAACTTTTTGATCATATTTGGGAAGTGAAATGAATGTTTAATCTGATGAACTTATAGTCGAATCGAGTGTCCAGACAAGACGAGTCCAGTGAGCCCAAATTCACTTAATTCTCACATTATTAATACGCTCAAATGGCTATCAGACGTCGTCCAATTGAAGGAATTTCTCTGGGCCGTCTAATCAAAGCAGTTCAAATTTCATCATTAATTGCAGTCGGAACTCTATACATAGAGTCTCGCCCCTCTCATGAAAATGAGAGAGAGCTTGAGAGACGAGGAAGAACTTGAAGCTTTGAGTATGAGCTAAAGTCCAACATTACTCTTGCAGCCGTCAATCACTGTCGACCGCCGTCAACCATCTCTCGTCGCCCGCCGACGATCATCATTGTCTTCCATCTACTCATTTTGATAAGTTTATTCGCACAATGACTTTGTAGCTCGAAAGATTGTGTAACACTTTCCCACTTGTCAGACAATTCTAATCTTTAGTTTGTAATAGATATTTTCAATTGGGTTAGCTGCCGTGGTATTTTCTCTTTTCATGTTTTTCACTTAAAAACTTATAATGTCTCAATCAGTTGTTTCTTTCATCTAAGTGTGCACTGAATTCTCGTATAACGCTAATACAATAATCAATCATTCTGCCTCTTCGAATTTTCTAGTACGCATCAATTTGACTCCATCAGTGGGAAATTTTTCACGTGATACAAAATATAGGATAATTTAAATATAAAATGCAAACTTTAAGTGTTATATATGTAAATTTAGCTATTAACTAGATGTTGGTCTAATAAAAGAAATTGTCATGTTTATTATGAGAAATGAAAGCGATTGCCTACCAAATAATTGGGAGGCAAAGTTTATATTTTCTTACTGGCAGATCAAACGATTAAAAAAATAGTCCAAGCTTTTACTCATTAACTTCTTTTTTCCTTTTTTTTTTTAATTATTTTGTTAACCAAATTAACTAAGAGTAATAAATACTTATTTTATACATTGACAATGACACTTGATAGTCGTTGCATTATTGAAAATTAGAATGAATAGACTGAGGTTTTGTATATGAGTGCAAAATTACCCCCATATAAATATCTCATTATCGTCTTCAAACTATCATCATCATCACTATCACCTGATTATCATCGTTTGATCATTTTTGTAGTTATTCAATCATTATCTCCTAATCGCCTTTATCCGATTATCATCACCTTAGTATCACGCGGTGATCATTCAAACTTCGTCATCTACCCTTATTGTCTAATTATCATTATCAGCACTCAATTGCCATCTTCATTGTCAATCAAATTCTATTATTACACTCTACTAGATTTATAAAAAAAAAAGAATTTTAGAATACCAATCACTCTAAACATAGAATATAACACTTTAACCAATCTAAATTTTTACTCCCTCATATTTACTATGTAAAATTGTTGATGCATATCATATATATATTTTTATTTGTATAAAAGCAAGATCTTTACGAAAAATTCTCATTTTGCCGCAACAATTTCTTAAATTTAGAATGATAATGATAATCTCCTGCCGCAAAATTCTCATCTTGCCATAAAATCTCATACCTTTTCTCCCTAAACAAATGAAAGAAAAGGGGAAGTGCTAAACCACCTCTAATGATTCAGAGGGATTGAAAAGTCTGCATAAAAGAGGTTCTGACAGCGAAGTAGACGAAACAAACGGAGAACAGCTTTCTTGAAACCTATAAATGCAGATAGTTTTGTCTCTTAGCTGATTCCTCGACTCTCTCTCACTCTCCCTAATGCTTATCTTTACTTATAGAGATATCTTTTCCACTCCAATTTTGCTTACAATTACTTCTATTGATAGGTAAATCGCAATCATTGACGGCTTATACTTTTGAATTACAAGTAATGATTTCATGGCTTAATTGTAGTAAATATAGGCTTAAGGAGAAAAAAAAAAGATTTTTTGTTAAAGAAGTTGTATAGGATTTGTGGAGCAGAAGCAGTGGCAAGCCAGGCTGAAAGGGAGGGAAGATGTAGGGATGGTTATTTGGTCCTGGGGAGGCTTTTATTTCTCAGGGTCCCGCTATTCTTGTCCGCCGTATCGTATTGTTGTTAGTATTTTCCTCGTATTTTCAGCCAGATTGAAATGCTCCTTCTAAATTTCTGGCATGGTGGCGAGAGGGGTAGCGAATTTATCATCTGTTTTTGTTTGTTCAGTTGCACTTGCTCTGAAGAATAAGGCAGGTTATTGGTTCTTCTTCTTCTTCTTCTTCTGCTTCTTCTTCCTCTTCTTCCTTTTTCTTCTTCTTCTCATTTGTTATCCCTTGTTTATGTTTAGGTCATCTGTTGCAGCTTTGTTTTCACCACAATTGTTTTCCCTTTCCTGTTTTTTGGATTGCTTGGGTTCGGATTTTGTTCTGCATAGGCTATGATGCTGTGGCTTCCATGGTTAATTCTTTTGTTTGCAGGATTTGTGATTTGGAGTTTCATTCCGGAGAGAAAATTCAATCTTTTTATACTTTTTTTTGAATTTGTAGTGAAACGACTAGAATCGATTGGTGTGGTTGGGTCAGTTTTAGTGAAAACACATCTTTTTGTACAGAAATTTATCGTCTCTCTTTCGTTTTTTAAGGGTTTGTGTTATTCAGATGAACTGCTTCTGATACTCCAGATCTCACAGCTTCTGAATGGCTGCTGCTACTGTAATTTTTGTAAATTATTGGACTGTAATGAGTTGATGGAATGACTGTGCTTCCACTGCCTGTCAAAATTTATTCAATTTTTTGACACATACCAGTCAATCTTATGTATTTACATATCTAACTCCTAAATTTTGCCTTCTACATCTATGCACCCAAATCTCTTATATCAAAGTAAAAGCAACCCCATTTTAACTTTTCAAAATGTGAAATGCACCTTTTCATGTATAGATATGGTGGCATGTATGTAAACATTGAAGTTTAGGTGTTAGATAAGTAATAAAATAGGAATTTAGTGGCATGTATCTCTTCCTTGTTTTAACTATTGCTTTTGTCTTGTGATTGGAATTTAATCTTTCTTGTAGATCTGCTGTTACAGGGTATACAATTAATTTTTTTCCCCTTCACTGTTTCTTCTTGAGTATTCTCATGGTTTTGGCAACTTTCTGCTTAGTTCTATGACCTTTGTGGCGCTTTCCTTGAGTACTTAAACTTCATTTACTCTGTATGAAGGCTGTAAAGTTTTTTGTTGGGGGTCTTCTTCTTTCACTTAGTTGATTTCATCAACAAAGTGAAGAAAGAAAAATACTGTTTTGTTGTGCTTTTTCGATACTTTATGATCCGGGGTTTGGGTTCCGAACATAATTTCATACTTTCTATGATAATATTTTGAATGATTTACATACATTACACCTAATTCATATATATTTACATATATAACACTTAAACTTCACTTTTTACATACATGCCATCTTATCTGTATATGAAGAAATGTAATTCATTTTTTAAAAGTTGAAAATGATGATATTTTTTATGTGATATGAAAGATTTGGGTGATTTAAATGTAAAAAAGTAAAGTTTAGGTGTTAGATATGTAAATACATAAGAATTGGGTGCTATGTTCTGCTTAGTATTGTGATAGTTTGGCTGCCAATGCTATGTTAGTGAGGCAGTGAAGCATTTGTTGTTGATATTTTAATGAAACACTTGGAACCAATGTTGGAAGGAGAGAGGGGTTGGGGGTGGCTCTAGCTTCCGTTAGATCCAAGAAAATCATATGAAAATATGTGCAATATTAAAACTGTTATGCTGTGGAGCCTGATCGGAACACCCGCTTGCAAGCAGACAGAAATGCCGACGCATAGGCATCGGCTATGGGCGCTCAAGCGTTCATTGGGTGCGGTTTGGCAGACAGGCCGGCACATAGGCGCCTGTCATGGGCGCTTATGCGTCCACTATATCGTGGGCGCAATAGTGGAGTTGGCACATAGGTGCCAACCCTTGGGCGCCTAAACAACCAACTTGGAGCTTCGGTCCAAAAAGCTTGGGGCATAGGTGCCAAGTTTGGGCGCCCATGCGCCAGGGGAAGTTTGCACGGGATTTCAGTTTTTATGTGAGAATTCAAGTAGTGTAATTTAGTGGCTTGGGTTTCTTCCTACGGTATTCTTCTACAAGGATTTTTGCGTCGGATCAGAGAGAAATGCTTGTGGAGCGAGTCATGTAAGTTTCTTTGTGTAAAGAGAAAAAATGGTGTGATTTCTCTATAAAAATTTTTAAATTTCATAGTGAAATTTTTGGTGGTGAGGCTCCGTGGTTTTTGCTGATCTCGATTTCTTTTACTTTAAATTCTCATGTGCATTTCTAGTTGTTTTGATTGTGTTTCCAATTTAATTCTTTGTTCCAGTTTTCTTAAATTGGTGCTATCATGTTATTTTGTGGTGTGGTTTAGTTTCTAATTGATCCTAAACCCCAATAAAGTTGAGAATTATTTTTGAAATTCCTATCAAATTTGTATTAGAGCGAGGGTTCAATTTAAGTGGTAGCGATGGCCGAAGAAGCAGGGTTCAAACAGTAGAAGTTCAATGGGACAAACTTCACGTTCTGGAAGATGTAGGCGGAGAATTTACTGTATCTACAAAAAATATATTTGCCACTAGAGGGAATCATAAGAAAGTCTGAGTTTATGCCTATGGAGGAATGCAAAGTGTTTGATCAAACAACATTAGGTTTAATCCGGTTGTCACTTTCCTCATCCGTTGTGTTCAACATTGTGAATGACAAAATTATGGTTGATCTTATAGTGTCACTGAACAAGATGTACAAAAAACCTTTGCTTCCAATAATGTTTTTCTAATGAAGAACTTATTCAACATGAAGATGGTGGAAGACATTTCAGTGGCAGAGTATCTCAATAACTTCAACATTGTGACGAGTCGGTTGTGTTATGCAGGAATAAAGTTTGATGATGAGGTCAAAGTACTGGTGATACTATCTTCATTGCCAGAAAACTGAGATTGTTTGGTAACGGCGGTAAGTAATTCGTTAGGGACTTCGAAGTTGAACTTCGATGACATCATGGGTTTGATGCTGAATGAAGAAGTTCACAGAAAAGCATCGAATGGTAAATCTTCAGATTTTGCATTGAATGCTTCTAACATGGGAATGATTTTGGGCAGGAAT